ACAGGTTTGGTTCGATGCTGATATTACTCTGCTAATTTTTTTTTGTTTGTTTAGCTGATATATCTACTTGTGGTAGTGGGGTGTTGGCATCCCCAGCTATCATTGCATTGATGTCTGTTTGACCTTTTATGTCCATTAGAGTATGATATTGGGAGCACCATAGTTTGGTATGGCTGTGTATGTGATTGTTATCTCTTCCTTTTAAATAGTTCCATTAATCAATCTGTAATGTCCTTCTTTGTCTCTTTTAATCAGCTTTGGCTTGAAATATACTTTGTCTAAAAAATAGCAAAGCTACTGCTTATTTTCAGGTTCCTATTGCATGGAATAGTGATTTCTATTCTTTGATGTTTGTCTATAAATTTCTTTTTGTTTTAAATGCATTTATCACATGCAGAATATTTTTGGGTTTGTTTCTTGATCCATGCTGCTAATCTGTCTTTTGATTGGTGAATTGTGCATTTGCATTTATAGTTATAATAGATAAGTATTGACTTACATCTGTCATTTTATTAGTTTCTATTGCTGTTTTGCTTTCTTTGCCTTCTACTTAATCATTGTCCCTATCTTATGTACTTATTTTATTGAATCTTTTGATATTTTGAGCTTAATTCCCTCTTTCTAGTATATCCTTGAGAATTTTTTGACTGTTGCTTGGGTAGTTATGAATTGCTTTAGCTTTTATTTGTTATGGAAGTATATAATTTGTCCATCAATTTTGAAAGATAATTTGTAGGATATAACAGTCTGGTTTTGAGGTTGTTTTCTTCTGCTCCTTGGGGTTCTGTTACACTTCATTTGTCTGTACATTAAGTTTTTTTACACATCTGGAAAGTTTTCTGCTACTCTTCTGTAGGCAGGATTTTTACGCTCCTTGTGCTATCTTCTAATTTTTTGCAAATTCTTTTTTTTTTTTTTTGTCTTTTTCGTTTTTATTGGTACCAAGGATCAAACTCATGACCACACACTTGCAAGGAAGGCGCTTATGCCACTGAGCTAAATCTCCAGCCCCAATTTTTTGCAAATTCTAATTACTGTTATATTATACCTTTTGGGTCACCTGGATCCATTGTCCATTGTTCATTTGCCCTTGTCATTTTTAAGGTATCCCTCATTAATTGATCATTGATCACAAGTCTGTCCTTTAGATCTGACATTCCATCTTTGTGTTAGTTGCTTCTACTACCCATACTTCTAGTTATGTTTTTCATCTCCTGCATTTCTGCTTAGAACTTTCTTTTCCATGGTGAATACTCATGTTTGCATTTCTTTCTTTTGCTCTGCAAAATGTCCTCCCTAGCCTCATTACTTGTTTCATTATGGTTACTTTTCTTTGTAGCTTATTATTTCCTCTTCCCTCACTGGTCCCCATAGCAATTTTAGGGGAGTTGGGAGTTGGGTAGGCATTGTGCTGCCTTGTATTCTCATGTTTCTGTTATTTTTTTTTTTTCTTTTTCTGTTATGGTTTGCAAATTCTTTGGCCTGGTGCCCCTTGTCCTGTTCTTGGGGAATGAGCTTCATTATTTATAAGCCTCAGGCAATCCAGGTATCAGCATAGAGAGAAACCAGTTGCTGGCCACTGTTTTACCTTGTCTGTGGTAGTAAATTCATCAAATGTCAGTTGGATACCAGTAACCCTAGGAACCATTCTTGAATAGCCATTAAACTAAGATAAAAAGGCTGATATTCTTGAAGAAAAGGAGACCCCCCATTATTTTTATCTATAGCAATTCAGAGCACTGATTACTGCTGGATGTTAGCAGCAGTGACAGAACTCAAACAAACCACTCCGTGGTTAAATTCCTTCTTCTTCAGGACCACACCCTCTGACACAGCACAATATGGGCCCTTCCTGATCTGGGACTGGGTCTCCCAGGGGATCCTAGGGGAACCTTCTATATTCTCACCCTCTTCAAGCCTGTCTCCAAAGGTTGTTACTCACACAGTCTGTGTGGAAGGGACCATGTCCATCCTGAGGGAGACTCTACTCCTGGGTGTGTGTCTCTTCTTCCCTTAGATGGCTCTGGTTGTTGGTTGTGGGTCCCTGGTTGTTCCTAGCTTTGGCTGTCTCTAGGGTCCTGGGCTTTGGCTGTTTAGAGTGTTGGGATTACAGGTTTGTGTCACCATTCCTTGCTCTATATTAAAATGTTCTGAGTTCAAGCTATCGAGATCAGAGTTCTTCCCACCTCTGTACGCTCACTACTGCATTCATTTCAAAAACATAAATACTTGGTTGCAGCTTCTTAAAACTTGGGATACTATTTCTACTATTTGTAGAAATTTTGACATTACTTTTAGTTTTGGTGAAAAAAACCCAAAAGACACAAAATGAACTTCCCTTTGCTGACTAACTTTTCAAAACGTATTTCGAGATATCAGCATGAGCCTCTCCCTGGAACTTCTTACATATAATTACTCTCCAGGTACAAACCAAACCTGCTTGAGCCAGGATATGCATTTTAATAAGATTTCTAGGTGATTCTAGTGTTTTCTAATATTTGATTTATGGGAATATTAAAGGCTACCCAATTACTCTTGGAGTAGCAAGTTTCAAAATTTTTACCTGTTGAAATTCTTTGAATTATGCTTTTCTGTTTGATGGTACTGCCTTCTCTATCATGGGGATAGGGTTAGTAGGATTTTTTTCCTTATTCTTACATAGACTTAGAGAAAAAATTCTAGAACTTTGATATATATTAGTATGTGGAGAGTTTTTTTTAAAAATACTCTATCCTGTCCCTACATTCTGAAGTTTTTAAGACAAGGTATCCACATATTTAGCAAGTTGTCTCTAGGTAATTTAAGTAGATGTTCCAACTTGCTAAGCCTAACTTCATGTGACTTGTATACAAATGCACGAGCAATGGAATGTCTATAGATACACTTATTAAATCAGAATTTCAGTAACTAAATAACATGACAATCATGTACACTTCAGACCTTATCTGTATCTTCTATTATAATTGCCATCAATACAGAGTATAATAAAGTTAGGGAATTAACTTTAACCTAAAATTCCAGGCGTGGATAAGGGCTCTTTTTTCTCGGCACCACACAAACATTTGTTATTGGTTGATTCCTTGATGATACTGTTCTTTCTGGAGTGAGATGGAATCTCAGTGTTGTTTTGATTTCTTGGTGACTAATGATGTTGAATATTTTAAAATATATTTATTTGTGCATGAGATGCTCATTTTCTGATTGGGTCTTTGAATTTAGGAGGCTTGATGTTTTTCAATTCTTTATATGTTCTCAATATAAGTCTTTTATCTAAGAGGACCATTGTCTAAATGTTTTCCTATTCCATGGGTTTTCTTTTCACTCTGTTGGTAATTTATTTTGATATGCAAAAACTTTTTAATAAGATGAGATCCCAGTTGCTGATTCTTTGAAGTACATCCCGTGCAGTTTGTGTTCTGTTCTTGAATCCATGGCCTACCCCATGTCTTTAAGATTTCTATGTACCTTATCTTCCAGTAGATTTAGTGTTTTGATTTTAATATTTAGATATTTGATCCATTTTGACTTCAGTTTAGTACATAGTGTTAGACATGGATCTAGTTTTAGTCTTCAGCATGTATAAAAACAGTTTTTCCAGCACCACTTATTAAAGAGGCTGTTTTTTTTTTTTTTCCAGTGAACATGTTTGGCCTCTTTGTCAAATATAAAGTGACTGTCTTTATAGTTGTTTTTGTATCTTCTAGTCTGTTTCAATGATCCTCAGATCCTTTTTTTCCACTACCATGTTTATTTTATCACAGTAGATTTGCAGTGTAATTTCAAGTCAGGGATTGTGATGCCTCCTCTCTTGCCTTTGTTGCCAAGGATTGCCTTTGCTATTCTGTTTTTTATGGTTCCAGGTGAATTTTAGGAATGTTTTCTCTAGATCTGTGAAGTATGCTAATGGTACTTTGATCAGGATTGCATTAAATCTGTATAACAGTTTTGGGAGTATGATCATTTTCACAATGCTGTTTCTTCCTACCCAAGAGCAAGGGATATCTTTCTAGTTTCTGAAATCCTCTTCAATCTCCTTTTTTTGTGAGCACTATACTCTTCCATATATAGATCTTTTACATTTTTTGTTAGACTGAGTCCAGTATTTCATTTTTTGCATGCTATTGTGGAAGGTGTTATTTCTATACTTTCTCTCTCAGTGAATTGAACATGAACACATCATGCCTCAGCAATAAATGTGCACCTATATTTATAACAGCACAATTTTTTAATAGCTAAATATTGCAAATAACCCAAATGCCCTTTGACCACAGAATGGATAAAGAACTGTGGTATTTTTATACAATGGAGGACTACTCAGCTATAAAGAAGGATAAACTTGGGCTTTTATAGGTAAATGAATGCAACTACAGACCATACTCATAAGTAAAATAAATCAGACTCACAAGTGTATATATTGTATTGTCTCTCTACTGCAAAAAAAAAAAGTGAAAGAGTATCCAAAATGTACAATAGATATTGTCAAAATGAAAAGGAAAGAATGTGCTCAAAACTAAAAAACAACTGACATAGGAGAAAGGAGAAAATTAAGAGGGAAAAGATCATATATACTCTAAATGCTAATTTGGAGAGTGTGGAAATGTTATTAATATTGTCTCTTCATTCTTGAAAATGAATCCTTACATTTATTTAGTATAAAAATTTTCAGTAATGTTTAATATAAAGATCTCACATTTCACTATTTCTAGATTTATGATATTTCTGTTTAAATTACATATGATAACCAATTGCACTCCTGGAGCTCTGAGATTTATGATATTTCTGATACTATTAAAATGTTAAGTTTTCTTAGAACTTTATAGCTACTATATCTGTATACTTAAAACTGTTAACCTGTGTCTTATGGATTTGAAACATCCACTTACAAATTCTACTACCCTTTCATAGATTTCAAAGGATTTTCTATGTAACTAAACATGGGTTTTAAAGTAATGACATTTTTCTTTTATAATTTTCACATCTTTTGTTTATCATTTTTGCAGATGACACGAGCTAGGACACATTGAACATTTCTTATGTGAAGTGGTAAGAGAATATATCTTTCACTGTGTGCTGATTTTTCCAGGAAAGCATTAAGTTTTTCACAATACAATATGATGTTACTTATATATTTTTCATAGATGTCATGCATTAGGTTAAGTTCCATTCTATTTTATTTTACTGATTTTATCGTATTAAATTTTTTGTAATGTTATTTTTGCAAATTTTGAGATAATCATGCAGCCTTTCAATCTCTTACTATAATAAATTGTATTAGTTGATTTTTTCTTGTTAAACCAGTTTCACACCTCTGCTATAAACTTCTACTTGATCCTTATTTTGTATATTGCTAGATTTAATTGCTAATGTTTTACGATACATTCGTTAAACCATGATCAAGAAACATAATGAATTATATTTTTCTTATATATTTATTCATTTTTTAAAAAATGAGGATTAAATTAACCTGTGATAAAAATTGGGAAGAGTTCACCCCTCTTCTGTTTTCACTGAACATCACCAATGAGTTTGATTTGTTAAAATGTTTTGTAGAAATTGGTGGTGAAGTTATTTGGATATGAAATTTTCTTTGTGGGAATGCTTTTAATTAAAAAACAATTTGACTTCTTTAATATATAAATGGTTTGAATAGGTAGATTTTTTTCAAGGACTTTGGTCATCTCATCAGTGTATTTATTATCTTTATTCCTGTATGATCTGTAGTGCTATCTCTTCTCAGTATTGATTTTTTTTTTGGGGGGGGGGCTTTTTCCTTTTTATCGGTACCAGGGATCAAACTCACGACTGCCTGCTTGCAAGGCAGGTGCTTATGCCGCTGAGCTAAATCCCCAGCCCCATGATTTTGAAACTTATATATCTCTTTTGTTTCTTGATTTTTCTTGCTAAGGCTTATTAGTATATTCACTTACTTAAAATAACTTGTACTGTATTTTTATCATTTTGTAATTTTTCCATTGATTATTTTCTTTTATCTTTTGGATGTAATTTTTGAACATTTTCTACCTTTCAAGGTAGGATGCTTCATTGGTTTGGCATTTTCTTTTCTAATATATGCTTTCTACACTAAACTTCTAGAAACTACTTTAGTTATATCATAAAAGGTTTGACTTAAAAAGTTACTGTTCAGTTTGAAATATTTTAAAATATACTCTCTGAGTCTTAAATAACTCAGTTTGAAACGTACATTGTTTACATTACAAGTAATTTTGAATTTCTGCTAGAGAAAATCTGTGGAGCTAATACAGATCCTTCACGTAATAGAAGGATAGTAAATAGATGAAGTGGACAAAATCCAAGAAAAAAACTATATATTGAATTTAGCTTAATTGTATGTTAAATAAATTTTTGCTCAAAACACTTTCAACAGGATTGAGACGTCGCTAAGAGCTGGAACACTTGCCTAGCAGGAATATGGGTTCCTCCCCCAGTAGTGTAAAACAAAATCAAAAACTTTTCTGTAATGAAAGCTTCAGGTCCAGTTAGCTTCACCATTATTTTCCAGTTTAACACTATTTGATCAGGGAGCACAATTTGTGTGGTTTTAAGTTTTTGGAGTATGAAACTCCTCACCCCTAAGCTGTGATCTTTTTTGGTGACTATTCTGTATGTATTTCAAAGAATGTATAATTTTTTGTTGCCCTTAGGTGGAAAGATGTATAGAGGCACAGCCAGGCACCAGTACTTTGGAGAAAGCACTGTCTAATTCAGTGTAATTACTGACAACTGAGTATTAGAACCTCATATGTTATTTTAAATGTGTATATTTCTTTTCCTTTTTTCTTTCATATATTCAAATGTTTTAATGTTAGATGTGTAAATATTTAGGGATTTTGTATCTTTATGATTGTTCATTTTATTTCTCTGAAATTTTAATCTAAAATTCTTATTGCTATGTTCCATAAGTCTTGATGGTCTGGCAAGTTTAGGAACTTTTAATTTTCAGTATGATACACTTAAGTGTAATATGCTTTGTATCTTGCTTGAGAGTGCTGAGAATTTTGGATCTGAAGGTTAGTGGCCTTCAACAGTTCAGAAATTTCTTGGCCATGTATTTTCAAGCATATTTCACTCCATCTGAAAAATCAAATTACTCTGTGCCAAATCAAGACTCACTGATTTTTGTCCCAGAGATTTCAGATGTTCTATTTTACTACTATTATTTTGCTTTCTTCCACAGATTTCATTTTTAGACAGTGTACTTACTTTTCCTCATGTGCACTGATATTTTTCTCTGATGCATACAAATGAGCACATTCTATGAGTCTTTTTCTGATGTTTTTTATTGCAAATATTTGCCTTTTAAATTGTTGTCATCTCTCTTTTAAAACTTGCCTTATTTTTGCCAATATTCCTCTTCGTCACCAAGTCCTTTAACATACTATGATAGGCATGTTTAAAACCCTAATTGTTACTAGTACTTCTGATACTTAGATAACCTTGTGCTCCATGGTTTCTTCGAGAAATCTTTTTTGTTTGTTTTTGGTTCTCATACCTTGGCAAAACCTTGGCAGATTTCTTTCAAGTTGTCAGTGTGGTTTTCAGCTTTTTGAATCTTTTTCTGGCTTTTGCTTGACTTCCTGGGTTTTTAGATCTCCAAATCATAAACAACTGGGGACCTTGAGGAAACTTCTCCCCGCTCTTTTGGGGCTGTCACAATTTTCAGCAAGCCACTGCTTAATGTCTGAGAAAGTGTATGCCTGAATGGACAGGAAAAGGTTGCCTGGAGAGGTCTCTGTGCTGTCTGTACAGCTCCATGCAGCGTCAGCCTACTCATTTACCCTGTAAACTTAAGAGCCCCTGAGGAAGACTCACTTGGTGGGTTCATTTTCTCTCTTTGTTGGGGGCTTTTTAGTATTATAGTCTGAATTTAATCTGACGCACCAGCTTTGAGTGATTTTTCTCTTGCTTTTGAAAATTTCCCCTTAGCAGAATTTACTTCTGCAAGAAATAGAAGCAGTTTTCTTCTACCCTATAAAGGGTTCATAACTTCTGGGATTCAGTTCATTTAGGTATCTTTAATGTTCTCCTTGCTCTGTGACTAAGAACACAGTTCAAATTTGTAATTTATTGGGCATGTTTTCATTGCTGTAATGATATATGACATCTTTCCATATTAGAGCCAGAAATGAAGTCTATTTATACTGATCTCTGAGAGATACACATAATAAAGTTACATAGTTAAGTTTTTATGAATCAAATAAAATAGTTCTTAATGTTTTTGATTGAAATTCATATTCTAAATTAAATTCTGTCATTCAGTTTTACCAAATCCTTTCTCCAGATGCCTTTTTGAAGGTTTTAAAAAAATTCAAATATATATTTAGAAAAGAATGTTTGGTACAATTCACACATCAAAAAGAGTGTTTTTGTTTTTTTTTTTACATACTTCACCTAAAGGAAAATTTCTAAAAAAGTATTTTGAGCAAATCTCAGAGTTTAAGAAAGAATATATACTTTTCCAAGACAATTATGAATTAAAAGATATATTATGGTTTTACACAGCTCCTACTCATTATACTCTTGAATTAATTTATTAAAATTTAGCTATTTTAGACACATGTAAATGCTTAACACAGTCATAAGGTTAATTAATGCTAAACATTTATCTTCATTTGTCTAATCTATTTAACTTTTCTTCTTTTTTTCTCCTTAGGAATCCTAAAACCAAAATATTAGATTGAAAACAAACATGGCTCCCCATATTACCTTTTTTTGGATAGTTTTGATTCTGCTTCTCCAGAACTCTGTGTTAGCTGAAGATGGGGAAATAAGATCAAGTAAGAACTATCAACACTGTCTCTTTCTGTGTGGTTTCTGCCTTGTAGGAATGAATGATGTATAGAAATCTGTGTAAGTGGATGCCTTGTAGGAATGAATGATGTATAGAAATCTGTGTAAGTGGATTAACAGAGTGGTATTTCTGTAAATGGTGACCATTTCTTTGATTGCCTGCAAGAAAAGTTGCATTAGAGATTGGGAGCTGTAATAATTGTTCTGTACTCAGGCCATTATTTGCAGAAAACATATTAGTTTTAAAAAGTTTGAGTATATTTTTATTTTAAAATTCTTAAACATAAACAGTACAAATCATTGTCTCTATGACAGTTAAAGCATATGGTTCAACAACTTGATTCTATTTGACTGCACATTTATTAAATAATAATGTTTATGTTTGTATAACTTTCTTGTATAAACATGCTACAAGATATATACATACCCTTATCTCTATAAATTTAGCACAAAAAGAGACCTACAAAATTGAAGATTTTTGTTTAGTATATTTCAGCTGGTTACAGCAGTGACTAGTTTTTGAACTATGTTTTTAATGTTTAGTCCTAATCTTTTCCTATGAAATCATTCGTCTCTCTAAGGAGGCAATCTCTTGTGTTTTGTCTGGAATTTATAATGGGCTATATTTGCTTTTGTATCCCTACAGTTGGCTAATCTCACAGTTAAAAAACACATACTCAATGGCTCTATGACAGAAGTGTAGGAAAAGCCAAGAATAACCTTGAAGAACTGCAACCACAGAATCGAGTGGCGCATAAACACTGGCAGGTTCAGACAGTATGAGTGTCAGTATTGAGGAAGAGCCAACACTGAAGAGCTCTGCAATTACAACTTCTCCATTTTTTTGTTTCTCCCAATAAAAAGCCTAAAGCATAACCATCTTATGCCAGTCTGACTTCCAAAACTAACAGAAGAATGGCATTCTTTTGGCTTTTCAAAGTTGTCTGTGGGTAGAATTCCATTTCAGCTGTCCCTGCCCTGAGCATGGAGTGGTCACCATTATGGAGGTTCATGAAGTTGTGTCCTTGTACCCTTCAGAGGGCACTGTCACTTGCAGTGGAGCATCTTAGTATGAATAGCGTTGTAGTCATAGTAGGTTTTCCTGACAAATTCATTGTTTTGTCATTTTTTCTGAGTTCTCAAGCTTACCAAAATCCCCTAACATTAGTGTTTATTTTTCTGGTGTCTGTGATGGGTGAGTTATGGTAACTATAAATTGGAACCTCCTCATTTAAATCTTGTCAGTCTCCTCAGTATCTGAGTAGAAGTAAATCAAAGAAGGAAAGGAATAGGAAGAGAAGATAAGACAAGAAAAAGGAAAAGGAAAGGTAGCTTGATTTATCCCCAAGGAGATGCAAAAATAGCAGGAAGACTAATTATCATTAATCATTTTTTCTTTAGTACCACTCTATAGTTATAATATCTTATTCTCAGACATTTAAAGAAAAGAAATCATTCTTGTTTTGACTTTAAATTGGGCATCTGAACAGTGCATGAGTCTATTAATATAAACAAAATCAAACAATGCAATATTTGTTCTTATAGTACTTCAACTCCATATCTCATATTTCTCCAGGTTTATCTTGAAAGTTATATAATTTTCCCTAAACTAACTGTTAATGTGCTGCATTTTGTAAACAAAGATGAATATAAAATTTTCTATAGAATGAGGCATAAACCATAGCTATTTTTTGCTGAATTAAGTGTGGCTGGCCTATGCGGTCTGTTGGGCATTTCCAAATAATGGGTTTCCCCCAAAAAAAACAGTTTATGTGTCTGTCTTTCATCCCAGGGCTTTAGCACTTACTATTCCTTTTGAATACTCTCCTCTTCATTTGATTAAAATTCTCATCTCTCAGAGATTGTCAGTAGTTAGCTTTTTATAAAAACTTTCCCTGATTCTCCACAATTGGGGTTCTAGTCCCTCTTGAGTGTTTTTATAATACTTTGTACTTTCTCTAACCAGCTAGTTTTCTGTCTTTCTGTGTGATTTTGAGAAATCTTATGTACACTTGAACCCTGTTTATAGCAGAATGTCATATTATGCCTCAAATATACTACACTAAAAAAGTAAAAACTAGGCCTACCAGCTTGTATCATGTAGAAAGAATTAAGTTTTTTTTTCCTTTGTATTTCTATAACTGCTTATAACTTGCCTAGGTGTGGCTTATACCATAGTTTTGATCTTAATGAGACCTTAAGATGTAGTGTCTGTATTATCTTCTGGTTGTGTCAAAACAATAATCTTTACTGATAAAGGAATGGATTCATGCTATTCAACGTAAGACTCATTGAACAGAAGCTGATGTTTTGTTATCTTATTTATTGAAGCAAGATCAGAACTTTAGAAACTAATTTTGGGTATAGTGGTCTTGTTCCATTTAAGTTTTACAAACTACATTAGTATGAAATTGTATTATCTAACTGAGTCTTGAATTTGGCATAAAATTCACTTTAATTTCTTTCTCCTTATTTTTTGGCTTTTTTTCCCCAGTGCTTTATTTTAGCATTAAACCTCACATATTTCATTGGTTACCCAAAATATGCAATGATGTCCGTGCAAAGCTGAAAATTCATGCATTTAAAACCTTCCACATTCTGCTTTTGCATACAACAATTGTGCTCTGGTGATTTTGTTTTTCTCTTAGGTTGCCGTACAGCTCCGACAGACTTGGTTTTCATCTTAGATGGCTCCTACAGTGTTGGCCCAGAAAACTTTGAAATAGTGAAAAAGTGGCTTGCCAATATCACAAGCAACTTTGATATAGGACCAAAGTTTATTCAAGTCGGAGTGGTCCAGTACAGTGATTACCCAGTGTTGGAGATCCCTTTGGGAAGCTATGACTCAGGACGGCACTTGATGGAGGCAATGCAGTCTGTGCTGTACTTGGGAGGGAACACAAGAACTGGGAAGGCCATCCAGTTTGCACTTGATTACCTTTTTGCCAAATCTTCTCGATTTCTAACTAAGATCGCTGTGGTGCTTACTGATGGTAAATCCCAAGATGAAGTTAAGGATGCAGCAGAGGCAGCAAGAGACAATGGAATAACATTATTTGCCATTGGTGTTGGTTCAGAAACAGAAGATGCGGAACTTAGAGCAATTGCTAATAAGCCTTCTTCTACCTATGTGTTTTACGTGGAAGACTATATCGCAATATCCAAAATAAGGGAAGTTATGAAGCAGAAACTCTGTGAAGGTAAGTCTTTGTACCCTTTGGAAACAGTAATTGCAGTGTTTTTACCTTATGGTGTCACCTGTTCCTTAACAGTGATGTAACTACACCCTTATATTTAATATCTAATTATTCATATCAAAACTGAGGTTAACTGCCCAAATTTTTGCTCAGTAGTTATTCTGGATAAATGTTATTTTCAAAAACAATCACTTTCTAATAAAATCTACTATGAAAACTATTTTTAGCTGCATTGAATTTTCATTTCAATTATATTTGTGGTGGTAGAAAATAAAGACAAAAGAAAAAATAAATAAATCACATATCATCACATAACTGTTGCTAATAAATTTTTCATTCTAGTTTTTTCTTCTTTTTTTTCTTAATGCATCTTACAGTTTGCCTATCTTCTTATGTAAGGACACTGTTATATATAAATTCATAGTCAATTTACCTACTGTGTACGTAATTTTGACTGTTAACATGGTAATGAACATTCTCCCATAATAATTTATTTAATAGTTTGCCAGTTTTTATACTTCTCTGTTTTATTTGTACAAAAATAATAGTGAATATCCTTGTACATAATTCTGAATTCATAATTTGAATGAGAAACTTAGGTTTTTCAGAAAAAGTGTCAAATTATTGATATTTTGAAAGATCTGCAGAAATGGTGAACTTTTCACTCTTAAAAAGTCTTTTTGAAGAACATTTGAATAATAAAGTACATAGTACTATGTTTGTATCAGTTCATAAACTCTAACTTCATGTTTTTGACAACTGTGTGGTTTGAGAAATTTCCAATTTCTAATAAACAATCCAGTTAGCGTATACACATTATTATTTTTGGGTTATTTGAGAATAATTTGTTAATGTCTTTTATTTTTATAATATAAGCACTGGTTGTCATAATGTTGATACAAATTTTTAAAGTTTATAAAAAAAAGGCTACAAAATAGGTTGGTTCGGATTCAATGAAAAAAATTCTGTATTTTTGTATTGCAACAAATTATGATATTGTTCTATTTCATTCATAGTTTACATAGTGAAAATAATAAAAACATTTAAACTTTTTTTTAGTTCTTAGCTAAAAAAAGTACAGAAATTCAAATGTCTTCACTAACTAAGCATTACTGAAGAGCACTGTAACAAGTATATATGATCATCACCATGTTTTTAATGAATCTAAAATAATAATATTTGGTTAGCTTTTATCATCTTATATAGGTCAGAGAGGGTAATTTTTTTCATAGGCAGTCAGATTAGTTAGAATTCCTTTATTGTGAATCTGGATATATTTCATTACTAAAATGGACTTTTACTGGATGAATTTCACTTAGGTATTTTGTTCTAAAGTATTATTATAAATGACAAAATGTATCTCTTCAATATTTGTTCTAGAAATATATTTGTTATATATATGCATTATTTTTAAAAATTTTAATTGTACGTGTAACAGTAGCTGTCCTTAACTTGATAAAAGCTTTCTTTCAGTTGAAATGTTCAATTTGTTAAAAAACTGAAATTTTGCCAAACATTACTTTATCCTCAAAGAAAGGATGGAAATGTCTGTGTTTATTCAGTTCACGTATGTTCTTCTTGTCTAGTCATCTTTTAAAATGTATTTTTTTAAATTATACTTATGGAATATATAATTTTTTTTAACTTTTTACATGCTGTATTTTCATGATCAGTGCATTAAGTTAATGTATATTACAGAAACCTCAAATTATACAGTTTTTGTTTGAATTGTTTGACAATTCACATGCTGCTTTGACAAATAGTTAAGTTCTTTGAAGTACTTCATATATGATTATTGTTTGCTGATACTTTTAACTTTTATATTTTACTGTGGCTGAATATAAAGTGAAGAACGTGCTTGAGACCTTGCAGTTTATTTCACCTTCATGGACCTATTGTTTCCCTGGAAGAGTTAACTATAATATTTTCCCTGTATTAAGACCAGCGTTTTCATTATAGGCAATGGTTTATTTGTTTGTCTGAAAATCTGTTGTTATTATCATCATCACTGCTAATACTGCTGCTTTTCTTTCTCTTTCTCTTTTTCTGCTTCCTTTTCTCCTCCTTTCTCTCTCATAAAATATATGCTATGAAATCTACCTATTAACAAATTTAAATTATACAGTTTCATTAACTATATACATACAGTGTTGTAATATAGTTCTTTAGAGTTTGTCATCTTACATAAGTGAAACTCATTTTTCATGTATGTATCCACCTAGATCTTAATATATAGAGAATTAAGCAATTCTCCATTTACTTCTTTTCCAAGCCACTGATATCACAAGTATTCTGTCTGCTGCTTTGAGTTGAACCACTTTGAATATATAAATAACATCATGCCATGGTTACCATTCTGTGACTGGTTTATGTTACTGAGTAGAGCATCTTTAAGGTTTGTCATGTTGTCTCACATGCTTGGCTTTCTTTTTATGGATGGGTATTGTGATGTAATATTTATATAATGCAATTTTTAAAATTCATCCATTTTCTCATTCTTCCATCCAGGGACATTTAAGTTGTTTGCACCTTTTAGTTTTTGTGACTAAGCCTTCATGAATATGAAGAATACAGTATTTTTTCACAATTCTTTTTTTATTTGATTTTCTTAAAAAGGTTCAAACCTGGGATTGTTGCATCATGTAGGTTGAATCTAGAATGACCCTAACATGCCTTATGTATTAAAAGTGGGACTTTTGCAAGGTGACTGCATTATGGGACTTGGCCTTTGGAGTGGGGCCTGACCAGAAGAGGTGGGTCCCTGGGGTGGGCTCCTCTCTTCTCTGTGTATCCTGGCCACCATGATGTGAGTGAATTCCTTCCCATCAGACTCTTTCCTCGGGCCTTTCCTGTCTTGGAGCCAGGCAACGATGGGCAGAAAACATGAGCCAAAATAATCCTCTCCTCCTTTAAGTTGCAGGTGTTTAGTATTTTGTCCCAGTAGGAGAAGGTTTCTAAGATGTGCGATAATCCTATTTGTAACTACTTCATGCAGTTTTCTACAGTTTTCTTTATTTGACATTACAGGTAACAAATAATATGTGAGAGTTTCAAATTCTCACAATCCTTGCCAGTACTTCTTGCTGATTTTCCCTGCCCCTGGGCATTCTAACTTGTGTGAGGTTTGGATTTTATTTACCTGACAATTAGTGATGTTAAGCATTATTTCATACACCTGTTGGCCTTCTATGTCTTCTTTGGGGAAGCATCCATTCAATTCCTCTGCTCATATTTTAAAAGAGGCTTTTTAGATTAAATTATAAGGGTTACTTAGCTCAGATATTAACCACTTACATGTACATGGCAGTTATATTTTCCAGTTGTACAGGTTTCCTGTTTATCCTTCTCACTGCTTCCTTTGCTGTGCAGATTTCACATGATCTAATCTTATTTTAAGTATTTCTGCTTTTGTGCTTGTAATTTTGGTGTCTGTTTAAGAAATCGTTGGCAAGCCCAGTGTCAGGAAGCATTTCCTTCTCTTCTTTGAAGAATTTTTGTGGCACTGTATAGGACAATTTCATTCTTTTGTGTGTGGACATCCACTTTTCCCAGCACTATTGGTTTGACAGCATATTCTTGCCTCATTGAATAGTTTGGGCACTCTTGTTACAGATTATTTATATTTTTGTTTTTTCCCCTGCTGAATCTTCTTCTATTCTGTTGTCTATAATCTGTCTTGGTCCCCATACTGTTTTGTTTACTTATGTTAGAATATGAAGTTAGGAAAACTATAGACTCCAGCTTTTTCTTCGTCAGTATATTTTGGGTATTTGTGTTGCACGTGAATTTTAAAGCTTTTTCCTATTTCTTTGAAATACTTTTAGCATTGCATATTCAGGAAGCTTTGGGTAATATGAACATTTTAAAAGTAAGTCTTTTAATCTATAAACATGGGATTGTTCCATTTATTTTTATTTTCAGTTCATTTCAGCAGTGCTTTATCAATTTGACTGTCTTAAATTTTTAGAACCTTTAACTAAGTTGATTAAATATTTTACTTTTTCATGCTGTTGTTAATAGGTCATGTTCAGTGATACTGGCTGTTGAACTCGGAAGCACTACTACTGAGTGACATACCCAGTCCTTTTCAATTTTTATTTTGATGCAGGCTCAGACTAATCTCCCAGGCCAACTCTGAACTTGCAGTCCTGTTGTATGTACTTCTGAGTAACTGTAATATGTCATTAATAGGCATGTATCATTGTGCTAAGCTAATGGTCTTAATTTCTTTTTTAAAACTGCTTGTTGGCTCTATGCATAAGTACAATTGATTTTGTTCTTCGTGTTTGTGTCCTACACCTTTGTTAATTTTATTTGCTCTAAAAAGTTTTAGGTATTATTTTTAAAGATTTTCTTTCTAAATGTTGTATTAACTGTGTAAGTATGGGATACATGGTGATGATTTGATACATATATGAAATGAGTAGTGATCAAATCAGGCAATAAGCATTTCTATCTCCTTAAACATTTTTAGGAATTTTAGATTTGAATGTAATGATTGTGATTATTTATGAAATATAGTATGATGTTGCAACATGTGGGTACAGTTTATATGGAATAATTAATGTGTCAAACTTCTTATCATCATTTTTGTTTTGGGGGCCATAGAGCTCCTATCCTCTAGTTATTCACAAAACATGGAATAAGTTACAGTGATTATACTCCCTCTTCTATGCTGTAGAAAATGGGAACTTATTGCATCTGTGTTATAGTATTTATTACTCAATCTCTTTTACTCTCCCTCCTCCCCACCCTTTCCAACCTCTCACTATTATACATTCCAATCTACTTTTTAAAACACATGGGAAAAATGTACAGTATTTATCTTTCTGTGTCCAAGTTATTTCACTCATAAAAGTGTCCCCAGTTTCAAAACATTCTGTTGCACTGATAGATATCATTCATTTTTATGGTCACATAATATTCAAATGTGTGTATATGTCACATTTTAAAAATTCATTCATCCACTGATGGGAAACTAGGTTGATTCCATATCTTAGCATTGTGATTAGTTCAACATAAAGCCACATAGGTGTTCTTAGATATGCTGATAACAATAACACTATATAAATTTTTCCCTTGAAGTGGGATATGTGTATTATATGTCCCAGATCATGTGTATGTTAGTTACCTTTCCTTCACTGTGAGAAACTGTCCAACACAGATAACCTAAAGGGTGAAAAATATATTTTGATTCATGGTTTCAGAGGTTTCAGTCCATTGTCAGTTGACTCCACTGGTTTGAAACTGAGACAAAACTAGACATCATGGTTAAAGGGAATGAGAGAGCAAAGCTGATCACCATGTAGTGAATGGGAAGAAGAGAGTGTATTAGTCAACTTTCACATTTCTGAGAAAAATTGTTTAATATTTGCAATTTAAAGAAAAAAATGTTTAATTGGCTTATGGTATCAGATGATTCACTTCATGGTTGGATGGACCCAAGTTAAAAACATCAAGGTAGAAGAGTTTGGTATAAAAAAAACCTGCTTATATTTTGGTGACCAGAAAGCAGAGCAGAGGGGCAGTACCAAAGAGCAAGAGACAAGTGAAGAGATACAGATGCTGAGAACACACTTTTATCATCCACCCAGACACACCCTGAAGTACGCTTTCCTAATTCCTTGGGTATTCAAGATAATCAAGTTGACAATCTAACTCAGCTGCCACATTCCACCCCTTATCAACTTATACCTAAACATATCCTCTTAAGCCATATTTACTCTTCAAATAAGCACAGTTATAATTCTGCTTGAAACAACTGTCCCACATAGAATCAAAACACCATAACCCCTTCTTCAAAGTTTCAATATTCATAACAGAGTAAGTCCAAATCAAAGTTTCCTCGGAGACTCAAAGCAAGTTCTTAGCTATAAACCTGTTTACACAGTAAAAGTTACATGGTCTCAAGGTATAATGACACAGAATAGATATTTCCATTCCAAAAGGCACGAATGAGGGATTGCAAAGAACAGCACCAAAACAAGACTGAAACTAAAATCCAGCAGGGCAAACATTAAACCCAGTAACTCCACGTCCACCATGTGGAGCTCCAAGGGATAGGCATCACTGCCGCTTGAGCCTTGCTGGCTGCAGCCTATGTGGCCTCAGTTTGGATGAGCTTTACTCGCTTCTTGTATGTTTACTTTGGCATCTGTTCCATGTTATTGACGTGAAATTTCTAGGGATTTCCACTTTACCTTGAGCTTCAGTTTGACAGTTTCATGAATCACCCTCTCAGGGGTACATTGTCCAGCTTCTAGGTCTTCCTCTGAAATGTAGAAGCTTCCATGAAATCACAACGCTTACATGCTGCACTCCTGAGCACTCTGTATCATGTGGAAGATGTGAAGAGCTACTGCTTGCTTCACGAGTAGTCAGGCCCCTTTGTAGCATCACTGCAGTGGCCTCTGAGTACCTCGGTGGTTGAGTGTAGTGAAGTGAATCCTAAGGAAGTAATTTCCTAGGACTTCCCAAGCAGTGGTCCTGGGGGCACTTTTCTCAAAGGGAAGTTAACACTTTTGCTCCCTTGAGCTTGCCATGGTGGCCTTTTGATGTTTATTAAGATGCCCTCAAGGCATCTTTCTTCTTGTACCTGTACAGAGTAGTTGGTATCTTTTAATGAGATTGATTTCTTCAGCAAGCAAATCTCTGCTGGCCTCAACTTTACACATGGTTTCTTCAGAACAAAATTTACCAAATTTTTCTGATTTGTTTTCCATTTTCACTGTAAATCTGACTAAAAACAGCAAGCAGTAAGCCACAAGCCACAACCTGAATACTGAACTGCTTTGAAATTTCCTCTGCTTAATTTTGGACTCCTGCAGAGTCTTGGGAACATGACAAAAATATGGACATTTTTTATTTATTTTTTTGCTAGAGTGCAACACACATGGCCTCTAGTCTAATTGCTAATGATACCCTTGTTCCCAACTGAAAGCTCATAAATTGACGTTTACTAAACCCATTTCTTTTTTATTCCATTTTTATCAGTACTTGTTTGCCATACATAATGATTACATTTATTTTGAGAAGTTAGTACACGTACATAACACATTTTGTTTCTTTTTCTTTTTTCACTCCCTTTCCCTCCCCTACCTTCTTCTCATGGTCCCCTTCCTTATGTAAACATTCTGGTTTTATGAACTCCAATCAAAATGTCAATCAGACCCTACTTAAGTATATTCTAGAGCTTCTGTAGTCTACCCCTATAAACTTGTCAAAGTTTTCCAGCAAACCATTTCCAAAATCTTCTAAATTGCATGGTCATGTATAGTCATAGCGGCAACCCTACTCTTAGTACTAATTTTCTGTATTAGTCAGCTTTTCTCTTTCTGGAACAAACTATCCAATAAACTAAAGAGAATATATGTGTGTGTGTGTGTGTGTGTGTGTGTGTGTGTGTGTGTGTGTGTGTATTTGGTTTACAATTTTGGAGCGCCCAGTCCATGATTGGATGTCTCTAATCAAGGATATCATAAGGCTGTATAAACTACTTATTTTATGTTTCCCAGAAACCAGAGAAGGGAACTGTACTAGAGAGGAAGGAATGAGAGACCAGGTATAGATTCCAAGGTCACGTCTTGTCATCCACTCAGACTCACTCAGTAATGAGCATTTGACAAGAAGACTGAACACCAGGGATAAGATATTGTCCCTAATCTGTGCCCTCATAGAATTTATCCCTTCAGCTACCTTCCATCTCCTAAGTTTCTGTTACCTCCCAGTAGCTTATCAAATTTTGAATTTATCAGTCAATTGTACCATTGATGAGATGAGAGGCTAAATGCTCCATCCTTTGGAAGAGACCTGCCTCTAAAAATTGTTTCACTGGGAACCATGTCTTCAATATGTTAGCTTTTGGGGGATGTTCCAGACTGAAACAATGTGCTAGATCTATGTTTAGAATTTCTACATGTAAGGTCATGTTATCTGTAGATACAGATAATTTAATACTTTGTTTTCCAGTTTGTATGCTTTTTATTTCTTTTGCTTATGCATAATTGTTCCAGTTAATATTAGTTTGAACATGAACAGTGAGACTGGACATTCTTCTGTTGTTCCAATTTAATAGAGAAAACATCAGTTTTCACCACAAAGTATGATGTAAGATAGGAACTTTTCATATATGCCCAAAGGTACATTTCCTTAAAATACAATTTATTGAGATTATTTATAATGAAAGGATTTTTAAGTTTTGTCAAACTGCATACTAGAAATAGATATATTCACATATATTATGTCTTCATGATTCAGATTTGGTATGCTGTATTTTTCTAGACTTTTATTCATTTTTATATACTATATAATTTTGTTTATAGTAATATATTATTATCCTTTTACATCATTTTAATTCTTTTCTAATTGGATAATTTATTTTGGTTTTACAGTTTTTATTGTATTGACAATAAGCTATCAACTGGTCTGTCTAGATTCCAGATATGCAGTTTTAGTGTTCTGTGCATAGCAGGATTTTAAATAAAATACAATTTCTTATGATTTCAGTAATACCAAATTATTTCTACCACTAAGCCCCCAAGAAGTAATAGAAACAAATACTACTGAAACCCAGTATTTAAAATTCATGCATAGCCCACTTATCTTCAAAATATGTTCTATTCAGAGTGTTCTCTAAACACATTAGAATAAAATGAATTTATAACATGAGTCCAATGCAAATTGTTTTTCTCCACACTAGTAGAACCAATGATATTTGACCTGTAGAAATATAAACTGTAAACTATAGAGAATAGCAAGCAATTTTTACCCTTTAATGCTGCAGAAAGTAATTTTAAAGTTAATCTTCTAGATATAGGAATTTAAGGGCAATACCCATGGCAATAGGACTAATTAGAAGAAAATTCTGAGTGAGATTCATGAATCCTGTTCCTACGCTCTCTGACCTTCCAGGTCTGAGGTTGCTTAGTGTTACCTTTAAAATATTCCATCAACACATCTTCCTGTTACATTTTTGTTTTACTTTTACTTACCTTTAAGAAAAAGAGACAATTGAGACTTTACTCTCAAGTGCCTAAAATACTTCTGTATTTTCTCAGAAAGTGTGCTCATATCCATTCATACTCATTTATACACATATAGACATTATAATTCTTATAATCTCTCGTATTTTCCCTTTGATTTTTTCTTTTCTTGTTGGAGGGGTCCATGATCAACTGTCTTGCTGTGTTCACTTTGTAGAATCTGTCTGTCCAACACGGATTCCTGTGGCGGCTCGTGATGAGAAAGGGTTTGATATACTACTAGGTTTAGGTGTAAAGAAAAAGGCTAAGAAAAGAATCCAGCTTTCACCAACAAAGATAAAAGGATATGAAATAACATCAAAAGTTGATCTGTCAGAAGTGACAAGGTAAGCACAATTTGTGGATCCAAATTGCATATGTGTGCATGTATGTAATTTTTGCAGGGTTGCTGACAAATCGCTGGGCTCACCATCTTCTTCTGTTTCTAGCAATATATTCCCAGAGGGTCTTCCTCCATCGTATGTGTTTGTTTCCACCCAGAGATTTAAGGTCAAGAAAGTGTGGGATTTATGGCGAATATTAACCATCCATGGAAAGCCACAAATAGCAGTCACCTTAAATGGTGTGGACAAAACCTTATCATTTACGACGACTAGCGTAATTAATGGCTCACAAGTGGCTGTGTTTGCTGGCCCTCAAGTTAAGGTAAAGGTGTCTGAGCATGATCATGTTATTCATAATCATGGTAAAACACCACTGTTTTTTTTTTTTTTTTTGCATCTTTTGGTGAGAGAATTATTATTTTAGCATGACTTCGTATTTTAATGATACCGACTTTATATTTTATGTTGCTTTATTGAACAAAAGCACCAGAGGAAGTTAAATTTGTTTCTTACTCAGTGTTAGGACAAAGGGCAAGGCAAATTAGCATATTTTGAGTGCCTCCTACTAGAATCTAGGCAAGGTTTAATGATAATAGCCATCTAATAAAGACATTGCTCTCATTTTGTGGGCAAAAAAACCATTGTTCAAAATTAAGTAACACAGTTCAAAGTAACATAGCTCTGAAATATTGACATCAAGAATTAAAGTTTGATTGATTTTAAAGTCCATCTTGGCCTGCTTTATACTTCCATGTGTATAAAAACATTTTTTAAAATATTAAATGCCAAGTAGATGATAGATTTTATTTTTCTTTATTTTTTATTCAATGCAATACATTTTTAAAAGTATTTTCCAAGTCATGTGTTTCATATACAGTTCCAATGATGATAGCTATGATGAAGTTTTACTCATTAAATATTTAAAATGTGTATTAATATGGTTTAGGTGATTTTGATAGTTATATATGAAAATTGGGCATTTACTCAATTTCTTCATTCAGAAACATTAAAAATTGTGCTATCTGTTATCTTCATAAGGTACTAGGTTCTTTAAGAAAAACAGTCAAGAATTTATAATGCATATGCAAAGGACTAGCATCAAATAAAAACATAAAACGTAGTGGAGTGTGAATGGAAAAAATGTGTTCTGGCACAAAAGGTAGAAAAATATTTATAAAAGTGATGATTTTTGTACTAGACCTTGAAGAATTCAGAGAATTTTGATGGCAAGATCTGTAAGAGGACAGTAAGTCAATGATTCAGTGTTGAGTGGTAGCAAAATGATGGATTTTTATTTAAAGACTGTTTGGTGTGTGTCATGTGTCATTCAAAAGGCTGGCAAGGTATGAGCCCATGTGTGAGGAGCCTGGAAGGCCCTGTGGACTGGCTGGGACCATTCAGTGGGTGGCAGGTTCCACTGGAACTCTTGATCATAGGTGCCCCATGATCAAGCAGTGCTCCCACTCTCTTCTCCTCCTTCCACAAAGAGTACCTTCAGCCTTATCTAGCAATTATGTCAGCTTCTGGTAATGAAGAAATAACATGGAACATCTCCTCTAATGAAACTTTAGTGAAGACATAAAGGATAGCTCGACCGGGAGGTTCAGAGATAGAAATATGGTTGAAAATAAAGCAAAATATCCACAAATCCAAATTATGACAGTAAAATGGATATGGAGAAGGGAGTTAAGAGTCATGTTCAGTGACATACTTGATTGGATTTTGCATCTGGCTGGTTATTACAACTCAGGGAAAGAAATGTGTGTTTTAGAAAAAGAGGATATTATTATCCAAGGGAAATAGGGAGAGGAAGAAAGTCCACAGGTAACTCAAGTTCGTTTTGTTATATACCATATTAAGCTGATTGTGAGACATCCTTGCAAACTTATTCTACTTAGTATTGGAGTTCCAAGGCCCATGTGTAGGAGAGAGGTCCAGGCAATTGATGTAGATATGGGAGATACCATGGGAATTAGCAATTGGTCTCAGGAATGGATGAACTTGTCAGAGTGCTGCGTGATAATGTTACAGTCAGACCTGGGAGAGATGTCCTCATGTGGAGCAGGCAGTTTGAAGGATGTGAGCCTTCAAAGATAGAGAATGAGCAGTGGAGAGGATGACCCGCAGACGATCAAGATGGTTTGAATTGTGCAAGTTGGGTGAAAATATGAATAAAGATGGACCACACTAGACATTGTGTCCAGAATTACAGTAAATTAATGGGTTGCAGAACAAGAAAAGCTATTTAGATTCTGAGATGGGGATTTCATTTGTGACCTTGAGGAAGTTGCTCCAGTAAGTCACCTGATACATTGACTTAGGGATATATAATAGGAATTCAGATAAGAATAGATAAAAGAGTTGGTGAGTAGCATGTGAAGTCCAGCTTGGATCAAGGTGAGCTCATATGTATTATAGGAAGTATGTGGTCCAGATTTCTCTTAAATGTTTGGAGCAAAGGAGCAGGAAGAAAGAAAATAAAAGATGGTTATGGATTTTATTTATGAATCATTCATGTTCTCTTATTGTAGACACTATTTGATGAAGAATGGCATCAGATTCGTCTCTTAGTAACAGAGCAAGATGTAACCCTGTTTATTGATGATCAAGAAATTGACAGCAAACCCTTACATCTAACTTTAGGAATCTTCGTCAGCGGGCAAACACAAATTGGAAAATATTCTGGGAAAGAAGAGACTGTTCAGGTGGATACATGATTTGACTTTTGCTTGGTATACAATGAGACTTTGCCTGTCTTTTATAATAATCTTGGCAACGCTGAGTGTATTTAACTTAATTATGAATTCTCTAAGATATTTATTCAAAATCTAATTAGCTCATGGTTGAAATTGTGTGTTACAAAAATGTGAAATAGGAGTTAATACATTTTCTAAGAATACTTAGAAAAATGTAGGGTAGAATTCTAGGAACTATTAACTTAATATTTCCTAGGGGAAGTAAAGTTTAAAAAATGAATTTGGAAAAGGGAATATGGTTAGAACTCTAAGGGCTGTAAAATTTCTTTGCAGCTGGGCAGAAAACATTAGATAAATACATGCCAGGATTCTTCACATATAAAAGTGTTACTTAAAAACAAAGTAGTTGTGGTTTGTTCAATTTATACTTTAAAAGATTTTGTTTTGGCCTTTTAAATATCTATTTGTTAAAAGGTATTTATATTTGAGTTGAGCAGTGAGTATGTAAAACCCATTTCTAAGGAAATTCCTTTATTGGAAACAGTATTAAGAGAAGGCTGTGATTTGACATGTGGTCAGATGCATATGGATACAATGTGTCACACTGTTGGAAACATTTAAATGATACCAAGTAGACTCTCATCAAGGAGCACTTTTTCCCAGGAACTAAATCTCTAATGCTAAAAATACCCTTCCCAAGTCCATCAAGTGTGTGCAGGACCATTGCAGAGACTTAGGATAAACACAGAAACCGGGGAGAACTTTTAAAATGTCTCTAGACAAGTTCTTACTATTAGGATACTAATACATATTCATTGGATTCTTGAAGGAAATCAGAGATTTGTTCTTGGCGCTAGGAGGTTTTCCCTCAAGGCCTGTTTTGCCCTGTGTTTATAGAACATAGTAGATATTCAAATCTGTGTTTTCATTGTGTTTGTTACTGAAGTGCTGCCATCTAAGCCTTAAACAGTGACTAGCTATGACTGCCGTTTCTGCATGTGTGACTTGCTATTACAAAGCAGTTAAAGTTTTAACTCTGTATCTGTTCCCAGTTTGATGTCCAAAAGTTGCGGATATACTGTGATCCGGAACAGAACAACCGGGAGACAGCGTGTGAGATCCCTGGATTCGTGAGTAGAATAGATCACTCCCTTTCACGTGTTGCTTTAGTCTTTGCAGACTGCTAAAGAGCAAATATACTTAAGTCTTATTTACTATATACATGTAATTCTGATTTTTATTGTCAAGGGACATAAAGTTACATGAAGAAACATAACTTGAGGTGCAAACTGAAAGAAATTACAGTGTATCATTGTACAAGTGAGAAGGAAAAGCAGAAGAGATGTAGGAGAGGGGGACTGGACTTGCTCAGAAGGACGTAGAATGTTTTACCTGAATATATCAACCTGTGAAGTATGTTTCTGTACTTAACTGTAGGACAGGACATCCCAAAATGCGTCGTGCTAAAGAGTAGAAAGTTAATTTTTCTGTTCACCAAGATTTTTCTTAAACTACAATGAATATTTTTCTTTTTGTTCTTATTACCTAAATAAGATAACTTACTCCTGTTTTCCATCAGTGGGAATAATTTATGAATCCTTGTTCTCAGAAGACTTGAGGATATAGAAGAGCACATTTAAAGGATCCATAATAAAATTACACATGCAGCCTTCTAGAAATTATTCACTTTGTGTTTTATAGACAAGCAGTTGTTTAACCATTATAATTTTTTAAAAAACAACTTGGAAAATAAATATCTTGTAACAGTATTAAACAGCATCATGTTTGAGAATCAGTTGTGTATATTTTATTGATGTCTCTGCATTGACACATACACTATTACCCTACCACAACATTAACCTGCAGAGTTTGGATTCCTGAACCGCTTCTGAAACGCCTTTCTGCTTCTTCTTATACTTAAGCATGAGTTCAGGTGGCTTGTTGAGCTTTTGCTTCTCAGTCCATCCTCTTTCTGATCTTGCTTGTTGTTGTTTGGAAAAATTATAAATACCTTCAGAAACTGCATTATTCAGTAAGAAAATTGAGAAAGTCTTCTGAAATAAAATGCACAACATTTTAATGCACACAGTTTTTGACTTGTTCAGATAAGTTCTGGCTTTTTTTAGTGTGTGGTTCTAAAATAATTTCTGTACAGTTCAACAGCATATAAATTTCAACTTGAGCTATTTTTTTCTTGCATGGCTATTAATATCAAGCAACTTTGGTTTAATTTTGCCTTCTGCACTTTACCTTTCTTGGTCACCTTCCTTTATCCTTTAAAAATGTGGTAACAGGCATAAGTACACACTTTTTAAAGATAGCTACAAGTAACTATTTTAGCTCGTGGTTGATTTGGCATGCCATCTACCTCCTCTGGATAATTGTCTGTAAATCAGGAAGATAATCTAGAAATTAATTAAAACACATTTTAAAACATGTTTGTTGTTTTTCTTTCAGAATGGAGAGGTAGGCTTGAATACTTGAGTCTTCATAAGGTAATGTTTGCACTCTGGGACCATTTAGCTTCTTGTTATCAGCTGTAAGTATATTTAGACTCAGAATTCATTTTTATTTAGCTCACATAATTTATTGCTCACAGAATTTTTATGATTTAGAATTTCTTGTCGGATTGGCCTAAACAATATTGGAAAGTGACTGTAAGCTATCTTTGCCATTTTATGAAAACATAGAGACATACGTACATGTGTGTTTGTGGATATAAATGTCTTTCCGTTTTGTTGTTTATTCCTTTTCTGTCTTTGTAGTGCCTTAATGGTCCCAGTGATGTAGGTTCAACCCCAGCTCCCTGCGTCTGCCCTCCAGGGAAACCAGGCCCACAAGGGCCTAAGGTGAGTAGCTGTAATGTACCATTTTAAACACACCCAGGAAAGTGCTGAAATACACAAAACTCATCATCACTGTGGACTCTGTTGTGAACCCTCCTCTGATGATGCCTTGTTAAAGTAGGCAGCCTGAGTTTTACTGATTGTTAAAAGAAGGTGTATTCTATCTGGAACTACCATGTGAATCTAAAATCGATACCTCGAAGCCTTGAAGTGATGCATTATTTGTTTTGTTTTTTTCAATAAACATTGCTGTGAGATCCCAATATGTCCTTGAAACCAGGTTTAAAAAATGAAGAAACAACATGTGTTAAGATATGTTTTTTTAAATTTAATTTTATTATACATTTTTATAAACGTGAAGTTTACCTTCAATTTGGCGTATAGACACATGTGCATAGCAAGGTGTTTCTTTTATTAATCCTTTTATTTCCCACTGTCTCCTCCCACCAGCTCTGAATCTTCTTTCCCTATTTACATTTTTTTGTGATTATTATTCTTAATTCATATTTATGACACAAAATGTTTCCATTCATTGTGGGTATTTTGTGCCTATACATTGTGTATTTCAATTGTACTAAATTCTTAAAAGCCTAATGTATCAAAATACTTCTTATATAGAAAGGTGAGGATAAAACCACTTGTTTTTATTATGGTGAGTTTAATGCCCAATGTTAAATAGAGGCATATGCATTTATTTCATTTAATCATGTAATTACTTTTGGAGACTATATACATGTGTTCCAGTTGCATTTACATGTTTATTTATAAAGCATACATGCATTTTAACATTGTTGGAACATCCTGTGCATGATTGTGACTGTTACTTTAAAATAACAACATTTCTGCAGCTCTTCCCGTGCTGTGCAGTGTGAGTGACTGAACCGAGTCGAAGGTACTGTTGCATCCTCCACTGCCTGGAGTCTCAGGTTTCCCCCTCTTCATTTCTGACCCATAGACGTTTTGTAATGCCACCTTATTTTTATTCACAGATACATATTTTTGCAGCACAGTTTTAATACAACATTTATCTGGTACAGCCTCTGATTTTCAATTTTTCCAAGTTTCATGTGTTTCTAATTTAAACCTCTTTATTAGTCATGATCCAGCCCCATTGCCACCTACTACTTTCAGTGAAATTGCAGTTTTCCACCAATATTCGAGTTGGCATGTCTTCTTGTTCTGCTTTCCATTTTCTTCAGAAAATCTGGCAGGAAGATAGGAATACACACACACTCTCTCTCTCTCTTCCATGGTGTAAGGGTTCCTTTCCCTGGAAGTGGTTCCTGCCCTCTTTCCCTAGTAGTACTGTACAGGCAATTTCTTTTGTTAAACTGGTTCTTACCATTTGTAGTGGTTTTTTAATTAAACAGAGCCTAAACTAAAACAGCCAAGATGTTTTTACATTAGATGTCTCTGAGAATTTTGGGTCATTTTTGTTAGGTGCTTTGAGGAGAGTTTGTCAAACAGAGCCACCTATAAGAAGCAGTCTTTCTCAGAGCCAGAAATAGAATGCTAGGTGCTGAGTGCTGTGTCATGTGACTGAAATGGAGGCAGAATCTTGGGTGGATACACAGATAAGTGCTTACTCAAGATCAAGAAGTTCATCTGCTTAATGCTGACTGAGTGTCTGACAAATATGACAAATGGGAAATCCACAGTAAAAGGACTGAGGGCCATTGTTCCTTCACCAAGCATCCAAAAATGCATCTGTCATTGTAGTGTAGTCTATTGAAGAATAAATAGCTTATTCTTTTTTTAGCCGTAGTTCCAATATAAGGGATGATTAGATTAATGGCATAATTAATTTAATATTGGGCTAATTCTAACAAATGTAAGAATTTCTTTTGTTCACAATGAAGGCCTTAGATGTCCTGGTATGGTACTTAATAGTATTCATTGTCTATTGAATGAACTAGAGCATCATTAAAAATAAGCCTCACCCCTTTAACCCATTTAAAATATATGGTATATTTCACTATGAATGAAAGACGAGATAGTCTCCAGCTTAGAAGCAATTCTTTTTTAAAACATTGGTACATAATCTTCTTTCTCTACTTCTGTAGATGTAGAAGTATTTGTGGCAATGACTTTCCACATTTGATTCAACATTAAATGTTAGATCTTTTAGTTCATAAGTACAGAGAAAGCACTTTTCTTTCTTATGTAGTTTGGAACTATTTCTTAACAATCTCTTTGCTCTGGAATACTGTAACCTTTTAAATCCAAGTCCTTGTTATCCTTTGCTTCACTGACAGTTCCATCAATTAGAAATTTATTCGGACTACTAAAGTATCCTTTGCTAAAATACAGAATTTTTTGGAAAACATCAAGAGTCACTAGTCAACTTTTTTATGGCAATATTTGGAATGGATGTTTTCTTCCCTGAAGCATGGGTTGGTGGTTCTGAGGAAGGGGAAAGTTTGTTTTTGGACAGTAGTCCAAAATAATCTAAGTTGGGATGTTCCTCAGCTAGGTAGAAATAGAAAAAAAAAAAAAAAAGACAAGTAAGCTTGGAGTTTTGAGAAGAAGGCTTGGAAATATGGTATTTGGACTTAGCTGCAGTATTACAAAGACATTTGTTTTGGATGCAGGACCTAAAAATTAGCTTCTTTTGCAAACACAACTGTTTCTTTAATTAGTCATATTTACACTACCATTCAGAGATGTTTTAACTTGGTCCGTGACATTTCCACTCTTGTCAACAATTTAAAAATCCGGTTCCGCATAAATAAGTATTCCTTCTCAGCTCTTTAAAAGTAATAAGAACTGTGGGAGTAATAAGGCCCAAAATGTGTAATTGTCATTCTACAGAAGGGAGGAAAGGAAAGTGCTCTGAGGGTTATAGCTGCATGTATGTTTGGGTGTATAGGATGGATGACCATAAGGCTGAGTGTTTTTTGGATCATTGAATGGGGCTGTTTTCACTCTCACTGTTTGAAGGTCCACTTTGGGTGCTTCAATTTTGTGACTTGAACAGCTGTTTCTAGGATGGGAATGTGTGGTCTGTTGACTAGTGATTTCTTACTGTTTATTTTTTGAGTTTTGTATTGCTTGTACCCTTTTTCTGTTTTTTTTTTCCTTTTCTCCTTAAATAAAAAAAGTATCTCTTCTCAGCTTTTTTGAATTCAAAATGAGCCAGCCTTTCAACTAAATTAGAATAAAATGCATTGGAAATTTCATTACAGTTGTATAATAGTAAATAATATGTCTGATTTGGTGTTTTAGGGATTTTTTTTTTATTAAATTTGGTTTTGGGGGGGTCCATAAGTTGGCTTTGATAAGCATATGCATTTCAGTGTGGGCAGAGATACTGGTGTTTAGGGGCACGGAGTCTGGGACTGAACAGGCTGGAACTGAATCTTGTCTCCATCATGTTGTGTGACTTTGGGCATGTTATCTAACTTCCCTGGCCCTTAGTTTTCCTCTATAGAGAATGGAAATGATAAAAGTATCTTTTCATACCATTACTATGAAGACTATGTACTATAAAGCTTGCTTATTATGTAATAAATAGTCGTGGTTAAATGTTAGCTGTAGTACTAACAGAATTAAATTTTTTTCTAACTGGTCATCTTACCAACTAGCTAAAAGAGTTTGAACTTTACTTTATTCTTCTCATTATGTGGAAAAAACCCAAACCTATGTGAATTTATGTAAATAATTTATCAATGACAGTAGTGAAAATAACCTATAAAATCTACTGATAGTAGTAAAACCTAAAACAAGTCTTTCCCTCTTGAGGCTGTTGAAATGTGTTACGGATTTTATGAAGTCACATAGAATTTTCCTGATGGCTGACTTTTTTATCCTTGAGAACTTAATTTTTGGTAATTTAAAACAGTAGTTTTAAGTGGCTTGTGTACTTTGATACAAAATAAAGTCCATGAGCGTCTTTCCTTCTGTGGCAAAAATTGATTACAAACCTGATCGTGGTGACAAGTAAACCTTCTCAGATCGTTTTTCTGTCCTGTGTTCTTTTCTGGTAGTTCACCTTCTGTGAGTAAGTAGGTCATTGAAAATTTGATTTAAAATAAATCAGTAAGTAGCTATGAAACCTCCACTTGATATACAGAGTTATGGGGTAGTGAAGGAGAAGAAAAAAGGGAAATTACAGTATTGGCTTTGTTTTTGATGAGCCCTGATTCTAGATGATAAATGAAGATTAACAAAGGGAAGATACCAATGGTGGCAATAGAAAAGTGTGCTGTACGAGCTGCCTTAGCTGATAGAAGAGACCAGGAGAAAAGAGAGCAGCTGGGAATGTCAGTGATACAGAATTTTGCCATAGTAGTGCTTATGGAGAAAGAGAGGAAAACCTTTTTCCCAAGAGAAATGAAAGACAGTAGACTTGGAAAGACATTGAGTCGAGTCCGAAGGTGAGTAATGAAGGGTTAGAGGGAGGCCAGAGACCAGGGTGAACCCTCACAAACTAAGAAGAGAAATGCTAAACCGCTGGAGGCCTCAGGCTTGCCCCCTTACACCCAGCCAGCACTGCAAGTCCTTGGATTAGAGTTAAAAATTATTTTTCCTTTGCATTTATAATTCTTCTATCTCTGTGTCTCTAAGCAATGACATTTCTCATCTTTTCAGCCTTTCTTCTTGCTACACCCCTTGAGGGGCCGCTAGGAATGAATTGCCCTTTTCTTCTTTATTGTTTTGGGACACAGTTCACAGAGTTCTTTCCATCTTTCCTGTTATGTTTCAAGAACACATCTTCCTAGCCTAGAGTCCAAGGCACTTTTCCGATCAGCAAATTTGGCTCAGCTAAAGTACTGTTAATCACCATGGTCCTTTGTGAATTTGTTGTTGTTGTTGTTGTTTTTGTTTTGTTTTGGTTGTCCTTTTGAGACAGAGTTTCACTGTGCAGTTTAGGTTGGCCTTGAATTCATTTTGTAACCCAGCGTGGCCTCCAACTCACAGTGCTTCTACTGCCTCAGCCTCCAGAGTGCTGGGATTACAGTGTGCACCACCACATTGTGAATTGTGAATTGTTTCTTTCTTTACAATTGATTATCAATATATTAAAACAGTTGCCTTAGACAGCTGCTATGGTGACTTCAGCCTCCTCTCCTGGCTCAGCACTGTTGGAAGTAATCTGCTAAACAATCTCAGAAGCAGGGTGAAAATCAAGAAGTTGCTTGTAGTGTCTCATGTGAAACAATCCCAGGTCTTAGAGCCTTCACCACAAGACGTTTTTCTTATAGTGATTCTCAAGGACTTGGTGTGCGATTGAGTCCTTTTACTTTGCAGTTCTTTTCCTTTATACCTCTGGTGAAGTCACTACACCCCTTTTCCAGGAATTTCTTGCAGTGGCTGCTGAATCTAATCTTAATTCAGTGAATCGCCACCTTGGGTCCCATGGGTGTCTTTCCGGTATCTGTAAAGACATGGCTCTCGACTGACATGTTCCTTGGCAGGAGCAAACCTAAGTGGCTTGGAGCCAGGAGTGACCTAAACTGCTGTGCCCACAGCTGGCTCTTCCTCAGAAAGAAAAGGGTTTTCTTTTTGAACACCAGGAATCGAACTCAAAACCTCACACTTGCCAGGCAGGTGCTGCACCACTGAGCTACATCCCCAGCCAATCATTTCTTGATAGAAAAAGAATTATTAAATGGAAATCAGTTGCTTCTCTGCAGAATTTCACTGTACTGATGGTAGAAATATCATATATTCCAGCAAGAGTCTCTGCCTGTACTTCATAGACTCAACCATGAAATAATATGAAACTCTGTTTTATGAGAGATAAGGTCTCACTATGTGTAGTTCAGCCTGACCCTGAATTCACTATGTAACCCAGGCTGGCCTCGAACTCATGGCAGTCCTCTTGCCTCTGCCTCCTGAGTGCTGCAATTATAGATGTGTGCCACCGTACCTGGCCGAAACTATTTTCGAAGTAGATCTTAGAGTTAAATTATAAAACACTTTTACCCTACAAAAACATGTTGCTATCTTGCTTTCTTTCGTAAGTAGTGACCGTTGGATAGCACACTCAAATTCTGGAAATGTGCTTGCCTCTTTGGCCACATTCTCTGGCATAGTGTTCTTTGAAGATCTCAGGTTTAAGAGGGTGAAAGTGATTTCTCAATTTCTTAGGTGTTACATGTACCTAAGTACTGCAGGGTGTGGGAGAAAGTTATTTGGCCTCAGCCCTAGTGTCATGAAAATATCAAAATTTTGTAAATTTAGCATCATGTTAAAGTTTGGTACAGTGGCAAATGGAAGGGATTGAAAAAAATGGCTACCATGTAACTTACTGTGAATCCCACACGTGAGATCGCACCAGGGAACTGAGTTTTAAATATTTTATGATACAAATTATTACACTGTAGGATGTTGATATGTAGGACAGAACATTTAGAACAGAATTAAGTGCACAGACCCAAGAAGTGCAGATTGCCACATTGGAAACTATATTTACTGTAGCACTTGACAGTTGGTTCAGAATTCCAGAAATACATCCTGCCATAAATATTGACCTTTTACACCAGTGAAATATCCAAACTTGTTTGCTCACAGAAGTGAATCATTAAGCTTTATTTAAAGTAAGCACTTAAAGTTCAGCATAAACTTCTTAAGCTGATTTTGGGACTTGTTCATTTTTATAATGTTCAGAAGCTTTAAATAATGGACTTGGCTTTGCACCTTGGAGAGCCAAGACTATGGCAATATGGTTGGTTTCTTTACACTGAGATGTCATTTTTCTTTTTTCTATCCAGGGTGATCCTGGACTACCTGGGAACCCTGGCCACCCTGGACAAACTGGTCAAGATGGTAAGCCTGTGAGTACTGCAAGCTTAGTCATCTCCAGTACTGGATTTACACTGTCGAAGTAAACATTGCATTGCACGTAGTTCAATAGGCAAATAAGATTTATTCCAAACTGCTGCCTTAGCAGAGAGAGAGTGAGCTAAACCATATGGAAACATGGAAGGAAATGTTTTGGTTCCTGAGTAAGACAGGGGAAAGTGCTGAAAGGGGCAGGGGAGGCTGGGGAGTGGGATGGCACACACTGAGTTTACTCTCTGTGTGTAAATGGCCTTCTGTCTGCTGACTAGTGTCCATCACAGTGCAGGTCCTATCATGCCACAGAGCCTGGGCTGTGGAGAGACATTCCTATATGATAAAATGGCAGGAAGGGGCCAGAGATATTCCTCAGTGATACAGTGCTTGCCTGGCAAGTGCGAGATTGTGAGTTCAATCCCTAGTACCAAAACCGAAAACAAAACAGAACAAAAACGGTCAAGAAGTTCTTAAAAAGACTTGCGTCTCAGAGATAAAACAATTTACAATTCAGTTTTCTAACGTGTATTCTGCAAAAATAGAGAATAACAGGACAGATTCAGGAGGGAGCTCTCTGAGTTTTGTCAAGCTTGTCAAGTTAAGGTCAGGTCAAGAGAATCCACCTTGCAGACACTTTGAGCTATCTTCGCGGTGGCATACATCTTTGCTACAATTGAAAATTGGCCAGAAAGTTTCAATGTCATGAGTAGATGTCTAAACAACTTACGTTTTTATATTATGTATGTGGATGTTTTCAATTTGAAAATCTTTTAAAAGGTGATGTTATTCTCCTTAAGATATATGCACTGAAATGAATTTATGATCTTAAGAAAGACTATCCTCTGAGATTCCAGAAGATATCAGGGCCATTTAAAGGGAACATAAATCAATATTAAAGTATTTTTAGATCAATAGTTATAGGTATGTCATTGTCTGCATGTTTATAAGAGTAAATAAACATTAAGAATCAGTTTTGAATGTTAAATAATAATTGTTACTAAGAAAATATCTCACAAGAGACTTTAAAACAATGAGACATTATCATAAGAGAATAGGAAGCTTTGTCCTGTGACTCACCAATGTTCAAGAAATGAAAGAATCTGGTGTTAATTCTTCAGCACACCAGCCATCAGGATGGGAAACTTGTTTGAGTCCCTGAGAGGTTTAATGATGAATTTAATGTAAACAACAGAAACTACAGCAACATAAAGTAGCCAGCTTTTGAAGATGTGGTGATATGGTGAGGCCTTTGACCCCACTATGGTAGAGAGAAGGGTTTAGTAAACATCCGAGCTGCTCTGGAGAGAAATTAGCAAGAAGATGGCACCGGAGGAGGTGACAGTGGCCTTGGGAAACCAGCAAGCTGCTGTGTGGTTGGGACCCAGGCTTGGCTGAGCCGCAGAACAACAGCCATCCAGGGAGGGGCTGTGAGAAATGGGGTGACTTGAGCTTGTTCATAAATCAGAAGACAAAAGAGAATTCACTGGCCAGTTGGAGGAGGAGGATCCTGAAGCAGTTTCTTCCTGTTTCTATGCTAGTAGCTCAGGTAGCGAGAGAGGAGAAGCAGAGTCTGGATTATTTCTAATGGAAAGCTGATGTAATTGCCAACAGGTGCGTGTCAGGGGTTTGAAGGAAGGAGCTACGTCAGAAAGAGATGAGGGAGCATTGTAGGGAGAACTGAGATGCATTTTGGGGCAGGTTGTCTTGTCCTGCTGGGGTCAGTCTGGCAGATGTATCTGAAGCCAAGAAAGCAGAAGAGATGACTTAGTACAAATACAGAAGAGAAACTGTGGACTGAGGTTAGCGCTGTCTTGAGAAAAAGTAGACGCTCTAACCAAGGAAATGAAGAAAGCCTGATTGATGAGGTAGGAGAAAAACCAGGAGGATGTGGCATCCCAAGAAAGGAAAGCGTTTAAGAAGGGGGAATTCAGTTGTGTCATCCTTCCCAAAAGGTTGAGAAAGATAAGTCTTGTATGCGGACTATTGTCATGCCCCTGGGCAGCCTTTGAGGTTCCTTGGATGAAGGACTGTGAGAGATGAGAAAATAAAGAAGAGATAAAGCAGGGGTCAAGTGTAACCCTACTCTCTGGATAGGAGGAAAGGAACTGCCCCTTCATGGCAGGAGTGTTTATACATTCTAGCAACTTAATGTCATATGATACCCTGTTGTCCTAGCAACCCACTGTTTGGATTATCTTGGGGCTAGGTGTCTCCTAACTGAAGCAGCTTCTTCATGTGGCTTGACCTGGCCCTCTTTGTTCTTGGGGGGTCATGCCCCAGCCTTGCACAATTGCCTGCTTTAACAGCTCCCAACAGAGTATTTAACTTGCTCTCTGGAATTAATAAGGACCTAGTAAGTATGATTTTGAGGAAGGTAGGTGAGAAATCTGAATGAATGTTCTAGGAGTCTGAAGCAAGAGGACTGCAAATTCAAGCCCAACCTGGATCACTTATTACCTTAGTGTACCCCTGTTTCCAATATTTAAATGGGCTGTGGATAGAGCTCAGTATGAAGGCTCTAGGTTCAAACCTGGGTACAGAAAAGCACAAGCTTGATGGTCTGGGATTTTAGAGAGGGAGCTATCGAGGACCTGACCTGGATCCCCAATCTCCCAAACAAGTGTATGGCGAAGGCTTAAAATAAATGAGACAAGTGGTATGATTTTAGAGCTCCGGGAGAATCAAAACCCTCTGCAGAGTTCCAGAACTCTAGTGGATAAGACAGGGAATGTCTACAATAACCTGTATTTATTTAAGGGTTAGACTGGAACATGCAGGAAATTGAACAGACCTTGGGAATGGTTCAAGTAACAAAATATGTCTGATTTAGGAGAACTGTTTTATGAGAACATTTCCATGTTGCATTTCACTACAGTCTTTATTTAGTTAATTGGAGTTGGAGCCAGGTCTCCTTAGTCATTATTGTATCTTGCCCCAGCCACACAGCAGCCCAACAGGGAGCTAGAATGAAGGCAGTAAATACAGATGCTTTTCTTTAAGGAGAGTAGAGAAATCTAGCAGTAGAACGGGACACGGTGGAGGAAATCAGGATTCAATCTTGGAGTACACTTTCATGATGATAATCAACTAAAAAGGGGGAAATGGAAGATTTGAGAGACAGCAGATAACTGCAGGTGGAAGATCCATGAACAGATTAGGAGGCACTGGTTCTGGCATAAAAGGTGAGATTGATCTAGAGAAGAGGACAGGCAACTGACCCTTTCTAAGGGAGACATGGCCAAGCCAAGGGGTGTGGAGATAGAGCAAATATCTGGGGAAGGAGGCTGAGGAAAGCTGTCACAAGGGAATCTGATCAATTACTGATCAGATTCCAAACTTGATATCCTAGCATTTACCTTTGACACCCATCACAAGGCAAGAGGGGTCCTGCAAGTCTCTGCCCACACTCTGGTCTCACTCGGACCTCAGCAGTCCGTGCCATCCCTGCTGCGGTTCCCAGTGCGCTGCACTGCTCCTGATCTCCAGCATCGGGGCCTCTATCATCGCACTGAGAGATGATTTTCAGAAGTGCGGCTCCCGCCTGCCCACAGACCCCGTGCTGGGCCACTCTTCCTGTGGCTGGAGGTAGAAGCTGTGTTAACTCCAAGCAGGAACTCCTCACTGCTGGCATCTCTCTGGCTCACACTCGCAGTGGGAGGGCAGGTGTCTGACAGCACTGCTGAGTTATTTAGGTTTTTTATTTTCTCAGTAACAAAGAGTTTTGAGCAATGTTTAGAAATAAGCACTGTTTCGACTTTCCATGACTAGCCCTGCTTACTTTTTTGTATTAAAGAAAAAAATCTTTACATGAAAGTATTGGAAATTGATTATCATTACTACAATATGATAATCATGGATATTACTTTCTGACTGTGATGAGTTATAATAGACTCACTCTCATCTAATCTAGTGTGTGTCTTTGTGTATGTATATTCAATTTTGAATTAGCTATGCCGATGTAGCCTTCATCCAAGAAAGAAAAAAAAACTGCATTAGGCAGTCGTGGTCCCCCAGGTAAGTCTACATCCTAACTTTCAGGCCGTGTGAATATATTCTGTTACACAGCAAAGGGGTCTTTGCAAGTATGGTTAATTTAAGGACCTTGACATAAATTATTTTGGGTTATCTGAATGGCTCCATGGAACCACAAGGGCCTTTATTAAGGGAGTTAAATGTGTCAGAGACAGAAGGGTTCCTTTATGATGTGGAAAGCAGAGATCAGAGTGAGGGAACCATGAGTTGAGGCACAGAACGTAGCCTCCAGAAACTGGAGAAGAAACGGGTTGTCCCTTACACCCTCTGGAGAGAATGAGGCTCTGCTGACATCTTGCTATTAAGATCTGTTTCAGAATTTTTACCTCTGGAACTATAAGATATATATTTGTGGTAGTTGAAACTTCTTTTTCTGGAAGACAGGAAATTGGCTGTTGCTGTGACAAGAACCTGAGACACCAGCCTACATCTGTTTCCCCAAAAGTATAACCTTTTTTTTTTTTACTCTGCCTCCAGCTCTGTTTCGTTTTCTCTTCAGGAAATGTGTGGTTGGGTGGCCAACAGGACAAGGAAAGAGAGCCTGGGAGCCAGAACAGCTGAGGGTCATTAGTGGATGTCCAGGGCCAGCACGGCGGAGCGGAAAGGTGCGGGCAGAGCTTTTGGCCAGCTCTGGGAGCCAGCTGGACCAGAGAAATGCAGATAGGACAGTTCACAGGGAATTCTGCTTTGTTTGGATTGGTTTTGTGCAGTCCCCTCATGAGAAATTTGAATGCTTTCACACATTATAACCAGGCCAAGTCAAGCTTTAAATAGTAAATTATTCCTCTCTGGATAAGTATTAACTTTCATAAGGAAAGTGCCTCCAAACACAATTAAAGAGTGATGTTCAATCTTTCCATTTCTCGCTTCTCTATTGGTCCAGGGACTTGTCAGTGCAGTACAGTGTCTGAAGATATTACTACCCTTTTATTTTATCATTACCAAAAGATAAGGGAGCTGCTAGATA